AGTGTGAGAAACTGAGAGTGTAAATAAGGACTAAAAGGATTAATAACTAATAATTGATACTTTGAAATAGGAAACTGTCCAAAGGTATAGGGGTGGTAGGATGGGAAAGGGAAAGGGAAGAAGGGAAAGGAAAAATTATGAGTAAAGATAAAAAATGGAAATGAAATCTATGTAAATAGGGAAGGGTGGATGGGGTGAAGGGCGCACAGGTAATGGGGGACAAAAATAAGAACTAAGATACATCATGTACAGGTACAAGCACCCAATGATAAATGTAAATGTATTGTATACCTAAAATGTATCAATAAAAGAATTTTTTAAAAAATTTATGTTTCTGCAAGATGAGTTGTTTCATTCAAGGTTGAGAAACAAAAATCTAGCCAGCATCAAGAACCATTTGTTAATATCATTAACTTCTTAATAATAAACCAGTTTAGTAAGAGTTTGAAACTTACTGGGCTAAATAGATTCTGCATTTTCTGACTGTGTTCAAGGTAAGGGGTCATGAACTTGGAAGAGTCCACCTTCTTCCTGATAACCTTCTTCCTCTCCATCGGCTTTGCTGGTTCTGGCTGTGCCAGTGCTGGTTTGGAAGTTTCTGATTCGTCATAGCCAGGTATTGTCCTTGTAGTCGTAGTTTCAATGATTTTTGTTATTGTCTGAAAAATTGACATACAGTTCAACACTGTCATAAAAAGTGAAAATACTGTCATAAAAGTGTCAGTGTATATTATTCTAACTTCAAGTCAGATTTACATTCCTGGTGTTATTTCTGAATATCTAAAACAGAACAAACCACGAAGTCACACACTATCTACACGAAGGCACATTATGTTACCTAACTATGAATGGTCACTGCAACATTGCCCTACGGTTGCATTTGCAGAAAGACAAACACTTTAAGGAAGTATTAAGAATCAAAAGTAAAATATTCCTCAACGTTTGAAATTTTAAGTTGTCTGCATGTGGTAAAAAGCAAAAGGTTCAGACAACCAAATAAAGCTTAAATTCTTGAATTTAACATTAACTTTTCATTGAATAAGAAAATTGGGTTCATTTCTTGTAAGCATTTAAGCATTGTTCTCTATATTGTGAGACAAAGATAAACTTTTAAAAGATGAATCACATCAATTTTATAAGTGATTACCCTTGTCTTGACTTAGTTATGAGTGTGAATTGAATGGCATTTACACTCCTAAATGCTTAGCTGGGCAAGAATAATGATAACAACTTACTGGGGTACTTATTTTCACAAGAGATCTATCTACGTAGTAGGTAGGAAATTACTGTCTCTTACAACAGGCTATTATGAAAAAAAAACTAAGACTCAAAGATTGAATCTAGTCCAAGATTTAAAATATTGTAAGGAATGTTAAGCACTCAAGTCATCAATCCATTTCATAGTATCATTTCCTTCACAGTAAATATCATCTGTACCAAAGGAAGAATTCTAGTATCAATTATGAAAAGAGAAACATAATAAAGAAACTGTACATATATGAAAATTGTTCCTGGTGTTGTCAGATCATTCATTCCCAATTGGTTGCTTTCCATCCATTATTTCTAATGCATGGCTCACCATGAGAAACCAACCAATTTACAATATTTATTGATACTCGGGTATTTTGTAGTCACTGGCTCTAGAGCAGGCTTCAGAGTTAAACATCCAGATCACTGTTTTTCATGTTCAAAGTGAAACAGCTCTATGCAGAAAATGAAGTACTATGAGAAAAGTATTTCACTGTGCGGGGAGGGGAAAGAATTTGAACTCAGAATATTTATGGGAATAGTCTTCTCAGAATTCATAATGTGGGCCGAATCACCCCGCTGCAGACAGGCAGGTCTGCCCATGCCCTACCGAGGTCCTGAGTCATACAGAACACGCCGAATCAGCCCGCTGCAGACAGGCAGCCACCTGGTTCCACATTACAAAGACGTAGAGGACACCAGATCACCAGACCAAGGCACTGAGTCCCGCTGTTCCCGGCCCAGAGGTAGGGACTTCTGAGCCATCGTCCCACTGCTCCTGGTCCAGAGGAAGGGGCTTCCCAGTCACCATCCCTCCCGCTGCTCCCAGCCCAGAGGAAAGGGCTTTTGGACCACCTTCTGTCCTGCTGCTCCTGGCCCAGAGGAAGGGGCTTCCAGGCCACCAGCCCTCCCACCGCTCTTGGCCCAGAGGGAGGGGCTTCTGAGCTGCCATCCCACTGCTCCTGGCCAAGAGGAAGGGGCTTCTGAGCCACAATCCCACTGCTCCTGGTCCAGAGAAAAGGGCTTCCCAGCAACCATCCCTCCAGCTGCTCCCAGCCCACAGGAAAGGGCTTTTGGGTCACCATCCCTACTGCTGCTCCTGGCCCCTATGCCACCTCTCCCAGCTCAGAGGAGGTAATCCGTGCAGGCAATAACAGCCCCCCACCCCAGTCGAAATGAGAAAACATGTAAATAAGTCTCAAAACCAGACTTCCAGATCACCTACAGCAACTGCAAAGGGAAATGAGATGGAACACTCTGATACTCAACCACCTGGACCCACTCAACTGGCAACAAAAGGGGATCTGGAAAAAATGAAATCAGGAATAATTTCTCAGATAACAGGAGAAATGGTGCCCCTAGTGCAAGACATGATTAATAAAT